GAAAACCCACGCATGCACAGAGAGAACATGCAAACTCCACCCAGAAAGGCCCCCGGAACAGGATTTGAACCAGGGACCTGCTCGCTGAGAGGCAGCAGCTCTTCCAGTTGCGCCACCGTGCTGCCCTCACACATTTCCTGTCTTGTCAAATGAATTTACAAACTTTTGAGTTTCTGCTTTCTATTAAAACTGTAAATCTTCTAAAAGTAATAATCAGAGCTCTAAGGCAAAGTTTGTTTCTATAGAAAAACAATATTTAAGTGAATAATAAGTGAAATGGTTCTGTGGAAGTGCTTTATTGTGATGTTTTAAAAACTGCTGACTGTGAATTCACTGAAAAACCTTAACAGATGAAGCAACGCTGGGAAAACGGCAGCAGTTTTACATGGAATCGAAACTTGATTTGGGTTTGAACTAAATCAGAAATCCTGAAGATTAATGACAAATCTCAGACATTTAAAATAAACATGTCTGTTAGATGCTAGATCTGTTAAAGGTTTTGTCACATGTGAGGACAGCGTGGAGGTATACCTGGCATAAAGGCACTGCTCTCTGCTGAGGTAGCTGAAGGTCTGTTTTTGGCTACAGGAGTGGCTGGGGTCAGAACCCAGACTCTGTGATTTTGTCTTGATAGTGACAGGAGGACTGTGAAATGCCACTGCTACAAGAGACAACAAATAGAAACAAAAAACTTAAAGCACAAAGAAAAGTTCAGTCATGTCATCTGGACAGTTTCTTTTTTGGAGAAACATTCAGTCTTTCATCTGAAAGACTTCATCAGTCTGAGGCTGGCCAACAAGAACTGTCTTATATATCCAATCAGCGATTTAGACTATAAGCATGTCTTAAAGACATAAAAAACCTGAATGACCCTAAATTTTCTGCTTTTAAACTCAGACAAGACTGGGTTTTTAGTTTTTGGACCTGAGCATCTTAGGAAAAAAAATGTAAGTCTTTCAACCTCCTTAGATGGCATTAATCTGGCCTCCAGCTCTAAAGTTAAAAATCTTGGTGTTATTTGTGATCAGAACATCTTTTAACCCCCACATTAAAAACATTACTAGAACTGTCTTCTTTCACCTGCATAATATTGCTTAATTTAGAAACATCTAATCTAAAAATTATGCAGAAAAACTAGTCCATGCATTTGTCATGTCTGGACTGAACTACTGCAATAGTTTGTTATCTGGGTGTCCAAATTCTTCTTTAAAACGTCTTCAGTTAATCCAAATTGCTGCTGCCAGAGTCTTAATTGGAGTTAGTAGGAGAGATCATATCTCTCCAGTTTTAGCTTCTCTTCATTGGCTCCCTGCCAAATCCAGAATATAATTCAAAATCTTACTTCTAACCTACAAAGCCCTCAACAACCTAGCTCCATCTTACATTAAAGATCTTGTTGTTCCATATTTTCCTAACAGAGCACTTTACTCTCAGACTGCAGGCTTACTTGCAGTTCCTAGAGTTTTCAAAAGCAGAATGATAGGAAGATCTTTCAGTTATCAGGCTCCTCTCTTGTGGAACCAACTTCCAGTTTCTGTCCGTAAGGCTGACATCATCTATCCATCCATTATCTTTACCCGCTTCTTCCTTTTCGGGTCGCAGGAGTCACTGGTGCCCATGTCCAGCTATCACTGTGCGAGAGGCAGAAGACACCCTGGACAGGTCTCCAGTCCATTACAGGAACGCATAGAGACAAACGAGACAAACAACCATTCACTCTCTCACTCTCAACTAGGGTCAATTTAGAGTTGCCAATCAGTCAAGTCAAGTCAGATTTATTTATAGAGCACATTTAAAACAGAAACTGTTACCAAAGTGCTTAACAAAAATATCACATCAACAGATAAAAAGTAGCAAGATATATTTACAGCACATGGAATAAAAATATAAAACCAAAAACAATTAGAAACAATGAAATACTAAATCAGATCACGTTGTGTCAAAAGTCAAGGAAATAAAAACAAAAACAAAAATCAGCCTAACATGCATGTTTTTGGTCTGTGGGAGCAAACCGTATTACCCGGAGAAAACCCATGTATGCACGGAGGGAACATGCAAACTCCACACAGAAAGGCCCCCGGACCGGGATTTGAACCAGGGTAACTTGCTCGCTTAGAGGCGGCAGCTCTACTAAATGAGCCACCGTGCTGCCCAAGGATGACACATTGTCCAGTTTTAAGACTGGGCTTAAGACGTTCCTTTTTGATAAATCTTAGGGTTGGCTTATTATGCTGCTATAGGCTTAGACTACTGGAGGACAAATTGACCTCATTTCTTAAAATGAATTGTTGCAATTAAATAATTTTCATTTGATACTATTTCTATCTTAACATATGATTCTTGACCTGCCATTGTGTATCTGTTTCTCCTTCCTGTTCCTCTCAAACCCAGTCGGTTGAAGCAGATGGCCACTTGTCCTGATCCTGGTTCTGCTGGAGATTTCTTTGTCATGAGGGAGTTTTTCCTTTCCACTGTTGCCTTCATGCTTGCTCAAAATGAGAGTCTGTAATGAAGTTAAACTCAAAGCAGTCTGCTCCTCAGATAATTAATGTTATTAACTTACTTTTTATTTGTCAGCCGACTCGGGACCCCAAGGTCCTGGGTTCGATTTCCAGTCAATGCACATCTCGTGGTGTCTCTGAGCAGGACATCTCATTCCCAGTTGCTCCCCCGGAGCTCTCATTAGCTGCCCACTGCACCACCTGGTGGTGGAAGGGTTAAATGCAGAGAGACATTTTTGCCATTGTATGGGAACATACAATTATGACAATATGCACGTTATTATTAATATATACTAGAGATGAATGTTTCTGTTCAGTGCTCTGAGACAACTTGTGTTGTGACTTGGCACTACATAAGTAGACTGAATTGAATTGAATTGATGCATTTTCCAATGTGTTGTCTTTAACAATAACTAAAGTCAACCATGGTTACTGAATGTTTATGTTCCTATGACTGTAAGGATGCCATTTATTGAAAAGACTACAACAGAGAAAAATAGGTAAATATAATTAAAGCGGATCATAAACAGTCTAAGGAACAACTGTGTACACTGAAGCAGCATTTAAATTGTGAAAATCTCAGCGCTGCAGGCAAAGTACAAGTTCATTCTGTCTGAGTTGTGAGCCTGATGCAACTAGACTGCATTCAAGTTTAGACTTTTGTTGCACAGACGCTTTGTGTTTAACCAAAGCAGTGTGTCATTTACCTTATATGTGGCATGCCGTGCAAAGACATCCTATTGAGTTGACAGCCCTCACCACACCATTTTACCCACAGCATTTATAGATACACATCAGGCAACAGAAAAACTCTGATCCAGATTGCAAGATAAAATAAATTCACAGGTTTTACATGCAATAAAACATAAAGTGCCTTAGAGAGTGTGCCATATGTTCATGTCCACAATTTAATTAGCAAGTAATTTTAAGTTTTAAAATGACACATTTTACTTATTTATAGAATTTATTTAAGAAGAATAACAATGTATGCAGCCATTTTTAATGGGATGTCAGTTAATAGCTAAAAACAAACAAAAAAAGCTTTTTCTTTTAAAATGTCTGAATACGTAGTATTCAAATAGTGGATTGTTTTAACTACATTATCAAATCAAACATTTTTAAACTAAAAACTAAAAAAAAGAAAACTAAAAACATGTTCCTGTTGTTAGTTTTCTACATTTGTCTTGGAATCTAGCTGTTTTTTGTTTTGTTACCTTTTCCTTTTAGCCATCCTATTTGTTAAAAAAAAAAAAAAAACTGTAGTATACTTTTCTTATAACTGTTTATTGTTGTTGCTGTTGTCCATTGTTGTCATCTTTCTTTGTTGAAATCAGGTCTCTCTTGTAAATGAGTCCTCGAGGCTCAATGGGATTTACCTATATAAATAAAGGTTGATTGATTGATTGATTTTAGCATTGCAACATTTGGCTGCAATGCAACCAGACTGGTTGCATTTAGTAACAGGAACACTTAGCCTGCTTCCTGATCAAAGATGTGATATTAAATCATGAATTGCATTTCCCTGTGTGGTTTTGTGGATTTCTGAAACAAAATTAGAATATCACATTATTTACCTACCTTGTTTAAAAATATATATTATATATATATATATTCCATTTACTTGTATTCGCTTTACTGACTTTTTGTGTTTTTATATATTCATTTTTATAAATCGTTATGGAAAGATACAAATTTTGCTAAAAGGAATATTTTTGTTAAAGAAATGTATGCATACAGCTACATTCCTATATATTATAATAAATTCAAACTCTGTCTTTTCTTTTGTCTAGCCCAGAAATCAAACTGAGAAAAAAAAGAGGTGATGGATGATTACTCTGATCCATACTTTAATCAGGGTGAGTACAGAACCCAAATACACATTACAGAAATCTGCACAGTCATTGAAGGAATTCATGTTGCCCACTACCTTTCCTAGTAGAGATTGAAATGTAATCATATTATGATGAGAAGTAACAGAGTTTTAGCTACTTTGTGTCAAACACTGCAAATGACATCATGTGGGCTCTCATTTGATATTTTGAGGTTTCGCAAGATGTAATACTTCTCATGTCCATGACCCTCAGCTACTACCAGACTAAACATAGCTAAGTATCTGTTCGACTGAGGTATAGTCATTTTTGTCTTGGCTAAGGTCATTAAGCTGTGTCACCTTGAATGGGTTTGACTCCAAACTTTCTGAGAGTTTCAGTAAAATCTGTCCACTGGTTGATAAGATTTTTTTACTAAAAGGCAGAATGTGTTGACTTTAACTGTTAGAGCCAACGTTTTAAGCAAATATGCTTCACAGTGTGTAGAAAAGATAAATAATAGCCCGTGAAGTAATTATATGTATTTAAACTGGTTGTAGATTTGGTTCTAATATGTCCCAATTTCTTTTTTTTAGGTGCAATGGATCTATCTCCCCAAATACCTTCTAATCTGTCTGATTGTTTTATTTACATATATAATCAAAGTGTAATCCCATCTCTCTTCTTTCTGATGTTCCCCATAGCCTTGCTGCTAAATGTTGTGGCAGCATGGGTGTCTCTGCACCTGAAGGCTACTTCCACATTTGTGGTGTACCTGAAAAATCTCGTAGCTGCTGACATCATTGTGACCTTGATGATCCCAATCAAAGCTGGAGCTGACATGCCAGGTGCATGGCAGGATTTAATTGTTGCTACATGCCGTTTTTTCTCTGTCGTTTTCTACAATGCACAGTACACCTGCATCGCCCTGTTGGGGTGCATCAGTCTGGACCGCTTCTTTAAGATCATGATGCCCCGAAGCACATTCTTTGTCCAGAGTTTGACCTTTAGCAAAGTGATCTCTGGCACAGTCTGGGTGCTTCTGTTCGGAGGTATAGGTATACCAAATTTCCTTTTAACTAACAAACAAGTGGTAAACTTGACAGCAATCAGCAGTTGCACAACTCTGAAAGGACCTGCGGGAATACAGTTCCATAAAAATTCAACTCTGGCTATGAATGTTTTCTTTTGGCTCGTCAGCTTGATCATTGTGGTTTGCTACATCTGCATCACCAACAAAGTGATCCAGTCCTACAGAAAGTCCGGCAGCAACAACAACCAGGGCAAGCACAAAATCAAACTACGTGTTTTTATAGTTATAATTGTGTTTTTCGTGTGTTTTGGTCCATATCACTTAATCAGAATCCCATACACTTTTCAACAAGTCAGCTATTCAGATACCAAGTGCTCTTATTTGTATGAACATATGAGTTTTGCCAAATCACTCAGCCACTGGCTCGCTACGACAAACGTCTGCATGGACCCGCTCCTTTACGTCTTCCTTTGTCGGGAGTTCAAAGAGAAACTGACGTCAATGATGAAAAATGTGATCATCTCGTTTAAAGTTGCCACAGGAAGCAAATTGAAAGCCCCTTTGCCCCATTAAAGGTGTTACTGCTTTTTGTTAAAGGGGTTGATATTGGGTATAAAATAATTGAAACAAAAACACAATACAGTAGTAATTCAGAACTTTTAAAGTTAGGTTCTGTGAAAATATTATGAAAATTTGTTATTTTTGTGGGTAGTTACATGATCAGTTTGAAGACACAAGTTTATTTCTGACTGAATTGAGAATTAATGGCAGTATCTTGTAACCGTTGGATACGAGTTAGCATCTCAAAACAATGAGAACATTGTGGAAAAAAGGTGAATTTTGTGTTTGAAACAAGTCACCAACAAGCTGTGTGGTGAGTTTTGAGTGGCCAAGGTTTAAAAAGTACGGCCTACTTTTGTGTGCACAGCTTGTGCAGTTGCTGTGCACATTGTTGCCCAAGCATCATACCAACCTTAACCAACTCTGTGCTCACATTAGTGGCAGCCCCCATGTTTATGATTTACTTTACTGGAGTACAAAATTCACGCAAAAAGGCAACAGTCAGGTGTTGAATCTGTGACTGTCTTGCTATGAATGCACAGCTCAGACAGCTTTAAACCCGGTTCCGCGGTGCCACCCAGATTTACACCAGTTTTTATTATTTACTATGCATTATTTGCGGTGGCACGGTGGTGCAGTTGGTAGAGCTGCTGCCTCTCAGCAAGCAGGTTGCCAGTTCAAATTCCAGCCGGGGATCCTTCTGGGTAGAGTTTGCATGTTCTCTCCGTGCATGCGTGGGTTTTCTCTGGGTACTCCACAGACCAACAACATGCATGTTAGGCTGATTGGTAACTCTAAATTGTCCCTAGGTTTGAGTGAGTGAGTGAATGGTTGTCTCATTTGTCTCTATGTGGCCCTGCGATGGACTGGAGACCTGTCCAGGGCCCTGCCTCTCGTACAGTGATAGGTGGATATTGGCACCAGTGACCCCCGCATCCCAAAAAGGAAGAAGCGAGTAAAAGATCATGCATGCATGCATGCATGGATGGATGGATGGATGGATGGATTATTTGTGTAGTCTTTAGAGTAGGACCCAACATTTTTCAGTCAGGCCATCTGGACAGTTTCTTTTTTTTTTTTTTTGTGCTGAAACGTTTTGCCTTCAATCCGGAAGGCTTCAACAATCAAGGAAACACACAACAAAACTGATTCTGGGGGAAGCATCAGTTTTGTTGTGTGTTTCATTGACTGATGAAGCCTTCTGGATTGAAGGAGAAACTAAAGTGCTGTAGAAACTGCGAAAATTAAATTCCAAAGGGGTCAAGATGTGTTTCTGATGCCCACGTGATTATTTTGAGAGAATATTTCTCGTACAGTTTTTTTTTAACTTTAAGCCTTAATGAGTCATATCAGGTTAATAAGAACCTCAAGAATGTTTCAAGACATTTTAAGAATGATGTTCACCAACTTGATGAGGGTGATGGGAGTCAAACTTCAAATACTGGTCTGTGTGGGTGGGTTTGCGGTACAGTCAACCTACTTCACATATGGGGAGCAATATTATAGGCAGAAACATGGGTGTGCTATGGGGTCTCCAGTTTCTCCTATTGTTGCCAACCTGTACATGGAGGAGGTAGAAAAGAGAGCCTTGACGTCCTTTTCAGGGACACCACCAAGTCATTGGTTCAGGTATGTTGACGACACCTGGGTTAAAATTAAATCTCAGGAAGTCCAACATTTTACTGACCACATCAACTCTGTGGATAAATACATCAAGTTCACACGAGA